CCTTACTATGTAATGACAATTTCAGAGTTCAAAGAGACCTTACTGATCACCTGCTCCAGAAGTTCCCAAATGTGGCAGTAGGTGTGCTTTAGATCTACTAAAGCAGAATTTTGAGGTTAAAGAAAATTCTGGTGGTCGAATCAGGTGCAGTGGCTCACACCTGTAATTCTAACACTCTGGGAGGACGTGGCAGGTGGATTACCTGAGCTCACAGGTTTGAGACCAGCCTGAGCAAAGAGAGAGACCCCATCTCTAAAAATAGCCAGGTGTTACGGTGGGCATCTGTAATCCCACCTACTCAGGGGGCTGAGGCAAGAGGATCATTTGAGCCCAGGAGCTTGAGTTTGCTGTGAGCTATGATGCCACAGCACTCTACTGATGGCAACAAAGTGAGCCTATGTCTCAAAAAAAAAAAAGAAAGGTGGGGGCTTAGTGCCTATAGTACAGTGATTACAGCACCAGCCACATACACCAAGGGTTTGTTAAATAGTAGGGTTTGTTAAATTAAGGTCCAGATGTATTGGGAATCAGTTCTGTCCTCCCATGCCATATTCCCTGTGAAAGTTCAAGCCCAGCCCGGGCCTGCTAAACAACAATGACAACTACAACAACAACAAAATAGCTGGCCTTTGTGGTGGGTAGGAGCCTGTAGTCCCAGATACTAGGGAGGCTGAGGCAAGAGAATTGCTTGAGCCCAAGAGTCTGAGGTTGCTGTGAGTTATGATGGTACAGCACTCAACAGAGGGTGACAAAGTGAGACCCTGTCTCCAAAAAAAAATCCCTCCAAAAGAGGACTTCAGGGACAAAGGAAAGAGACAGAGTTTCAGTTTGTCACCCTCGGTAGAGTGTCATGGAGTCACAGCTCACAGAAACCTCCAGCTCTTGGGCTTAGGCAATCCTCTTGCTTCAGCCTCCCAAGTAGCTGGGACTACAGGTGCCTGCCACAACACCCAGGTATTTTTTTGTTGCAGTTTGGATGTGGCCAGGTTTGAACACACCACCCTTGGTATATGGGGCCAGTGCCCTACTCACTGAGCCACAGGCACCATTCAGAAGGAAAAAATCTTAAGGGTCAGAGAAAGGATAAAGGATTCTGAATATTAACGCAACTCATCTTAACTCTGGGACAGTCTATAGAGGCCTGAGCCCAAAGAGGGGAGCACTATACACTTCTCTGATCCCATAGAAGTGCTGTTTAAGACCAGACATTAAGTCTGAGAAGGCTCACGGCCATCTGCACTTCCACACTGTGGGTTTTAGGCCCACATCTGTAACAGCTCTGCCAGCCTTTACCAGGCTCCTCATGTGCCCCTCTTTCATGCTATGCCAGCTCTGTGCCCTCCAGATAGCCATTCCCCAGGGATGAGGCTAGATGGTGGCTCCCTCAGAGAACTGGCTACCTGAGGTCTCCTTCCCATTCCCACAGTATCCTCAGGTATTTCTTCTTACCTCTCAGGGCCTCCATTTCCTAGTACAGCCGCTCCTGTCTCCCCATGTCTTCTCTGAAGGCTCCAGTGATGTCTAGAGAGTGGTAAAAGCTACTTTCTTTTTACTCCTAGCCCAATTGGAATAGGCCTGAGAGAAGGAATCCTTTGACCCTTGTTAGTCCCTTAACCCCTGGAATGACATTACCAGGCTGGGGAATATGAGGGCAGGGAGGTATGTGGACCTAAATGAACTTAAAATGTATGGGCTGCAAGATCAGACTACTGGTTTTTATTGCGGGGGAGGGGGGTTTGAGACAGAGTATGTCGCACTTGGTAGCGTGCTGTAGCATCACAGCTCACAGCAACTTCAAACTCTTGGGCTTAAGCGATTCTCTTGCCTCAGCCTCCCAAGTAGCTGGGACTACAGGCTCCCGCCACAATGCCCGGCTATTTTGTTTTTTTGTTTGTTTAGCTGGCCCAGGCCAGCTTTGAACCTGCCACCCTTGGTGTATGTGGCTGGCGCTGTAACCACTGTGCTACTGGCGCCAAGCCACAACGGAGTTTTTTTTTTTTTTTAAAGACTGAGTCTCACTTTATTGCCCTCGGTAGAGCACTTTGGCATCACAGCTCATAGCAACCTCCAACTCCTGGGCTTAGGCTCCCAAGTAGCTGGGACTACAGGCGCCCATCACCATGCCTGGCTATTTTTTTGTTGCAGTTTGGCTGGGGCCTGGTTTGAACTTGCCACTTTCAGTATATGGGGCTTGTGCTTTACCCACTGAACCACAGGCGCCACCCACACTACTGGGTTTTTGATGTAAGTCTGTTCCTGGTTCTCTGGGTAACCTCAGTTTCTTTGACTTGAGTAGAGGAAGAAGGAAAAAGAGTATTACTAGGATCTGGGGCCATCACAGTAGGAGGGAAAAAAATCCCAAATGCCAAGCAGGGCAGGATCAGAGTGGCCTCAAACATTTGTTTCTATTGGTTGATCTGTGAGGCTGAGGCATTGAGAGGATGGATGGTGATAATAGCCGGGAGAGTGGAGAGCTGGGGCTAATTCAAGGCCAGTACGATGATACCCAGTTTGTCTGGAAGTATTTTAGGCGTCCTGAGGACGGAGTGGGGCATGAGGGACCACCAGAGAACACAGAAGCAGCAAGGCAGAGACAGTGTCATTGGAGGGAAGTACGAGGAACAGAGCAGTCATTCATATCCCATGCGTTATGTCAATATGCTTTCTCTGCACTAATTCTCACAATTCTGGGTAATGAATCCATGTTCCCACTGCCAGCAAGGCTTAGAAAAGCCCATTTTACAAAGCAAGGAACTGTTGTTGAGAGATTGAGTCTATCTTGGAGTTGTGGACACAAACTGGAGTTGTGGATAAGTGGTGGAGCTGGGTCTTGCTCGTGCTTCTGCACTCATAATTGCCCTCTGCATTAGTCTGCTTAGTCTCACTCCTAGTATCAGCCTTTTTTTTTTTTTTTTTTAGCCAGAGTTTCACTGTTCCCAGACTACAGTGTTAGTGTTATGGCATCAGACCAGCTCACAGCAACCCCAGGCACCTGGGTTCAAGTAATCCTCTTGCCTCACTCAGCCTGCCAGGTAGCTGCGACTATAGGCACCCACCACAATGCCCAGCTAATTTTGCTATTTTCAGTAGAGATGAAGTCTCACTCTTGCTCAGGCTGGTCTCAAACTCCTGGAGGTCAGGTGATCCTCCCACCTCAGCCTCCCAGTGTGCTAGGATTACAGGTTGACCCACTGCACCTGGCCACAGCCTCTTCTGACCTATTGTTTTTTGGAGTGGGGGAAATAATCTGAATGAGTCTGCCCATATCTCCTGGACATTCCTTGGGTTAGGAGTGAGGGACAGCCATTGTGTGGGGCTGGGCCGGGATGGTGAGCTGACCAGATTTAAAATGTTAGTTAGTGTTCCTTCAAGAGTTCCTTTCCTCTCTCTACTCCCTGGCCCTCACCCCACAGTGACAGGCCAAAAAGTGGTGGAGGGCTATTTTTGAGCATTTCCTTCTACTGTTGCTAACACTTGAGTTCCCACAAATACCTGCTCAAAACTACAGTCACAGGCCCCAGGATTAAGTGCTGGGCTGAAGTGTGGCCCTTTGGAGCATGAAGCAGGGGTGCAATTTAGTTCATATGTCCAAAAGCCAGGGCCCCACTGGAGAGCTTATGAAACACTGCAGTGACTTATCTTCCTCAGAGATAGCCAGGGCTCCACTGGAGCAGCAATGCCCAGCTCCAGCCCCAGTCACAACTATACCTGAGTGTGGGCCCTGGGATGGAAATCCAGGAGGCCTGGCAGAAACTATAGCTTGAGATTTTTGTGGCTGGGAAGGGCCCTATGTAACTGAGGTCCAGGGAAGACAGTGACCTGCCTAAGACCACAAAGCTAGATTAGTGGCAGAGCAGAGCTGAGGACGGAGATTCAGGGTTCCTTCTACAAGTCAAGAGCTATTTTCACTGTGTTACCTCCTTAGGAGACTGATGAAAGGCCCTCCCACTCTCAGAGGAACTAGATAGGCACCTACCTTGACATAGCACAGGTTATACTTAAAGATGAGGGTTGTAGATGCTTTGAGTGCCATCATTCACAATTCAGAACACAGGTGGTAATAAATAGTCTGTATCTGACTTCTAGCATTCCTGGTTCTCACCACCACTGGTTCCCTTGCCCCAGGTGTGCATTTTTACCAACCCTACTTAATGAGATTTGGGTACTCCACTGGACTAGGAAGTCAGAACCTGGTTATTGAACTCAGCTTTTTTCTCTCTGCTCATTGACTGGACAAATCCTCCTTATCCTTATAAATCTACTTGTGCATCAAACACATGGGGGAGAAGTTACCTTTCCTGAGAGGAACCAAGGCTTAAGATTATCATCTTGCCCATACCAACTGAAATGAACTGAAGATTTTTATAAAAAGAAAATCATCATCAAACTCCACAAGCCATTTATCATCATTAAATAAGTTCCCCCAGAGGAACAGAGTGACCCATTTGGCTGGGTAAAGCAGAAAGTGTGACCATCTTGAGAAATTTGAGCTCCTTGTGCCCTCCTGGTACTGCTCAAGTTCCAAGTTAGTACTCTTCTCTGGTCTCCTTGCCTGGGCTCAAGTCTCAACAACTGGGGGCAGAGTGTTTGAGGAATGCTGCTGATCCATGATCCCCTCCCTTCCAGGCCTGTATAAGGTTATCTGGACTCCTGTAAAAGTATTCGCTTCCACAGTCCAAGGGACCAAACTATGCCGAAGAGGCAAGGGGCAAAAAATTTCTCAGGCATCTGTGAGATATGCCCGACACGCCTACTGAAGAGCAGTGATACAGCAAAATGTGAGGGAGCACGTCAGCGAGACAGTTGCTTAAATTCTCATGCCCTGAGCCTAGCCCAGCTAAGTGCTGCTGGCTTGCATCTGCCAGTGCTCTGACAGTTCCACTATCCTAGGCTTGAATGCTTTTGAGTTAAGAAAGCCCATGAGGAGGGAAGGTAGGAAGGGGACAAGATAGGAAGTTTCAAATCAACAGAAAAAGATCAAAAGTATAGTCAGAATCCCATTTGGTTTTTTTTCCATTCTCCTTTATTCCATAAACACCTAGTTACAAGTTGCACAAATCAAAAAATAAAGGCAGAGGAGGGTACAGGGAAGATTTTTGTGACATGTCTGGGTGGGGATTGCAGGAGAGGAGGAGGCAGGAACCAGTTAGCTCCCTCAACAGCCCAGGACAGGGCTACAGCCCCTCAGGGGAAGAGGTACAGAAACATCTGGGGTAGCTGAGGGATGGAGAGGGCCTATAAACCCAGAGCTCACCCCAAAGGTCCTTCAATGCATGGCAGGGGTAGAATGGGCAAGGTGAAGAGGTTCAAAGATGGAGCAGCAAAATGAAAAATCCAGTTAGTGGATACAGGAGAAGTGGAGTTCATCATGGTAAGGGGATTAAAGAAGGAAAATGTAGGCAAAGGGGGCAGTGAAAAGTTCTCCCTGAGACCTCCAGGGAGAGGTGGGGGCCAGCTGGCCTGTTAATTTAATATTAAATTGGGGGTGGGAGTTGGAGAGGAAAAACTTATTTTCAGGGGATGATTTCTCAGCCTCTCAGCCTGTACCTACAGGAAGAAGAGAGATAAGCACAAGTCAAAGAAGAAAAAGTATAAAACCCAGGAGTAGGGGTTCAATCCCTATTGCAATAAATACATTTCTCTCTTTCTATGCCAACTAAGACTTTTTTTTTTTTTT